TTCCTGCTGTAAATTTTGGTCAAAATAAATCTTGCAAAACTACTGGGCTTCTGCATCATCTTTCACGTATGTTTTTTTCTATGAAGAGGGAAAGGTGGAAGCTTGCACTCCGCACAAGTCCACCCCTGGCAAGTGGTGGTAGCATTTCCAGCTCCTCCACATTTCAGTAGCCTTTTTCTCGCTGAGCTTATTCAACACAGGGACTCTTCTGTTGTCTTGCTCTTCTAATTGTGAATTCACGTCTTTAACTGGATAAAAGTGAATGGATTCGTCTCCCTTTTGAAAGGGATAAAATAAATGAAAAATGCATCGTAATATAAGGCAGTAGCACTTTGCAAGGTTGAGAGCTTGCAGCTGAATTTCAGAAAGGAGGTAGATGGGAGCTAGTTCACCTCTCTTGGGATGCTGTGATGCTGCTTGCACTGACAGAATATGCTGGGCTGCAAGAAGCTGTGTTTCTGTTGGGTGCACATGGTTCTTCTGCCAGCTTCGTCTGGGAGTTATGGAGGAATACAGTCTGGAAAATACGGGAACTCATGGGGAGCTGCCTAACATGTTTTCTAGCCTGCAGAGAATAGATGCTGCTTCCCATCAAATCCTTTCAATGCTTCCTAGTAAGTCAGTTTTATTTGGGTATGTTCTCCCTATTAGTAAACGCCCTGCTGGAGGCAGCCAGGTATAGATTTAGCTGAGTTCAGAGAATTAGGATTTTGAGTCTAAGTGTAGTCCTGCAGTACTTATGTAGACAAAATTCCTAGCCCACCAAATTATTTGTTGAACCTTCAATAAACACTTGGGTCCTCTTATCTTACTTCTACTACAGGGACGCAAGGAAGAGAGAGTAATTCGTATTTAAGTTTGGTGGCCCGAAGATTCCCTTGATATGCTTAATATAGATTAGAAGGTCTTTGAGTTAACCCATATCTCTTTCCTTTAGTCTGTAAATCATTAATCCTCGCTTTACTGGCTGCTGGGCCACTTGATGCTGCCTGACGCGTAGATTATGTGCACTGAGTGTTAAGGTTGTTAACCAACAAGTTAGAAGAAGAATATTCAGAAGCTAGCACAGAAGGCGGCAGTAGGTATAGGAATACCGTATCGGTTAAATAAATAGAAGGCACAAGATACATACTAATCCTGTTTGATAGCACTTAACCAGTGTTTTATATCAAACTCCCTAATGGGAACAGGATGGGACCTGTTGTGTTGTAAAGTCCAGTCCTCTGTCATAAGCAACTGCCTATATATTCCTTCTAAAAGCCCATCAAACTCCACCTAAAGCAGTTGTTTCCCACCTCTGCTGCTGCTCTTGGGAGTCTGACATGCAATTTTATTTCTCTGAAAGTTTTCAGACCTGGTTTCCATCCTACCTCATTTTTAGGACTCATTTATGTGCAAGCATTGTTCATCAGCTTAATGAGAGCCTACCTCTTCCTAAGGTTCTTCGCTCTAACCCATTTTTAGAGACCAGTTGTTTTGCTGGATTGGATAAGCCAAGATCTTTGTGTCATTTCATGCAATAGATTCTTTATCATTTGCTATTCATAATGGTTTTTCTGCCCAGGAAGCTATATAAGCTGGGCTGCATAGCCTGCCGGTCTTCACTGGCTTTTTAGTTGATCTTTTTTGTGGTTTAGTTCAGGTGCACTCCCAGAGTATTTTATGTCTTCCGTCCATTTAATTTGAAGATATTACAAAATAAAAAGAAGGCATTTTCTTCTTATTCTCCTTATCAGGCAGGGGAGCTCTGTACAAAGGACCATAAGCGACCGCGTGTCTGTTGTCATTCCTGTCTCTGCATAGACCTTCCCTCCCCCCATCTGTTTCCCACCCATCCTTCAAATAAGCAAAACAGCTCCTGGGCTCTGCGATGTGCCAAGAGTGCAAGTAGCAGAGAGAAGAGCTTCAGGGCAGAGACTCCTGGTATGTGTTGTCAAGTCAATGAGAGACCACAGATGGACATGGAGGGTTCTCGGCCGAGCCAGGAAGGGGAGGGGCCATGTGGGATGATCTGTCTGAAAACTGAAATTACATGATAATATTAATAGCTCAGAAATCACAAGCTTGCGGGAGGTGCCAGTATGGATACAAGGGGACCATATAACTGTATGTTTTGCTGTTAGCAAGTAATTGTCTTGAAACAGATGTGCTAGACTTGAAGAACTGATTACTTTTTTTCCTTTTTTGTTTCTTTATTTTATCTTAGAGAGGGAATAATTTTAACGTTGGTTGATTGGTAGGTCCCTAATCCTGTTGTTTTGCTCGGTTATTTTATTTATCTTGTTTGCTGATATTGTTGAGTTTCAGTCAAAGATACTGCTGACTATAGCAGAGAAATTCAGAGAGCCCTCCTTTGCGTGCTAGTTGAGACTTACTGATGCTGATTACAGGACTCTAAGCAACAGAGACCCACCTTTTAGGAATTTTCAGAGTAAAGTTAAAATCCATTGGAGCCTGACAAGATGCACGGCGGGAAAAAAGGGTGTGCAGAGATCCATCTGTTACATGTAAAGCAATGTCTGATTCCTAAGAGGGTGCAGTGAGGCAGGAGAAGTATTCCTGTGTATTAACTTCAAAGGGATATATCCAGAGTCCAGATTCTGTGACTGACATGTATTGAAATGAAATATGTTGGTGTATAAATTGGATAAAAACCTTCTCAATGTCCCATACAGAACCTAGACTAATGGCTGACTCTATACCAGGTTGTAGGCAACATCTCCTGGTTTGGACAGAGTGGCATGGTAGCTAGGGGAAGCATGTGCACACAAGCTCTGCAAGGACATGTCAGAATGAAATAGCATAAAAACTTGCTATTTATTGTTATCAAAATAATTACATTTGTGGTGGTGCTTCTAAGTGGGGGATACCTACATACAGCCAAGGTAAAAGCAGCAGATACTTGCTCTGTAATAACTTGTATTTTTAGAGAAAACAAATGCGGTGGAAGTATCTCAAGAAATATATACTTCTTTCTATAGAGCTACAGTTTTCAGAGAAGACATTTTGGCTGGCCTACTTGGATGCAGATGCCATTGATAATTGTTACTGTTTTTACTAGGTGATGCTGGGAATGAAACATCCGTTTTGAGTACTGCTTTTTCTTTCTTTCTTCCTTTATGAGTGGAGATTTGTTTGCATGTACGTACCTGATTAGAGTAGCAGGCAGCGTGGTGTAGGAAGTTACTGTTTTTCTGCTCTCCTGTTGATGTCTGTATAGGACCGTGTACAGCCACCTCTTCTTTTCAGAGGCAGGTTGGTTTTGTGTATTGCTGGTAGGACTTCTCACCGGAAAGGAGGTCACTGCTATCTGGTGCTGACTCAGTGGCTGTCGGGAGTCTGAATGAGAATGCTTTAATGCTATGTTTTGGGTCGTAGCACGTTAACATCTGTGCATTACCACAAAAGGCAATATGGCATTCACATCTTTTGTACAGACTTAGCACTTGCTGTGTATAGGTAAACGTTCAGTTCCTGGTTTTCTCCTCTGCTTTCACACGTTTGTGATTTTCCAGAACATTCGTGTTTTGCAGCGAAATCAAAGATTCTTGTTCTCTGCCTCAAGGAGATATTTTTAAGTATCTCAGATGTTGAAACAAAATTCTGTCTACTGTTTTTGAGAACTGAAGACAGATAATAGTGCAAATTTTACTAGAATAAGTAAACTTAGAAAAATAATTACCTTTTGTTGCTCTTTTTTTCCCCCTGTATCATCAGGTTGTATACTCAGTTGCAGAGAGATCTACATTTGCAGAGGCAGTTGAAATCTCTGTTAACTTAGGACTGTTAATGAATATAAGGATGTCTGTGATTAAGCAGCTCTCATAGTTCAGCAGTGGTAAGAGGACTATGTCCTCGGTACATGTTTGTTACACCTATAAAGGTGAAGCTGGTTCCCTAGGAAGGTATGTTTTATTAAATTCAGTTCTGTTAAGCTCTGTTAAATTGAGGTTGTATAGGCAGAATCTTTCTCTAGACACTGACAAATCTCTTACCTACTGCTTTTCAAATATTGCTGCAGGACTTCAAGCTATAATTCTGGCTAGAATAATGTCTCTGCTTTTATTATGTCCTAAAATAAGTGAATTGAAACATATGCTTCAAACTAAGTTGTGGAGTAAATCTTCACTGTGCTCTAGATAATGCCACTACTTGTTATGTCTCCACATGACTTGTCTTTGAACTCAGTAGAGAACAAGGCAAAAACTGTGGTATTAATAGCTCTGTTTATACATTTTTAATGCATTCAATTCGTTGTGGATAGCTTCATTAATGTTAAATGTGGTTCTAAATATGGATGGGTATAAGTGTTTTCTTTTGAAAACCTTTGATGGAGTCTAGCATGCCGGCTGGCCTCCTGTATTAACTTTGATTCCATTCACGCTTTCTTCCTCTTTGTTGCAGGAGCTATTGTGACAATCTTGGCTACCACCCATTAAGTGCTGCTGACTTTGGAAAGATCATGAAAAACGTCTTTCCAAATATGAAGGCCCGTCGTCTAGGCACAAGAGGCAAATCAAAATATCCTTTGTTAGAGCGCTTCTCAGTAACTTCTTTTGCACTTGCCTGGAGAACATCTGTCATTACAGCTTAACTACCAGCTAAATGCAGAAGTAATGTTAAATAAAAAATGCAGACACTTTCCCAACATTCTTTAAAAATTATTAATTGCGGCAGTATTAGGTTGCAAGATACAACTTCGGAAACAAGTACTTAAATTTAGGTTCTGACCCATAGTTGTTACAGCAGTGAGGAATCAAAGAAGCTTTATCATTTAGTGCAAAGGGAGATGCTGGAATAAAGGGACTTTCCTTATTTATGTGCAGTAACTAGTATTTTGTTGGTAGTACAGCTCAGAATTACCAGAACATTTCTTGCTTTCATATTATACTTGTGCACACCAGTAATTTTAATGTTAGTTGTAAAGCTGAAGATCCTTCTTAAGCTCTGCTACAGATATTTCGTAAAACTGCCTTTCCTCAACTGTTAGTATTGATTCAAAGAGAAGAGGGAACTGGGAAGTTGTCACAAAAGCTGAAGTTCAAACTTGGAAGGCAGGGTCTGGGGCTTGTCCTGCTGTCAGAGTGGGGAGGCAGCTTCCTTCATGGCATGGTGCAGACCTCCTGAGATAGCAAAGACAATTCAGAGCGAGAGCTTCTAGGATGGGAAGCTCTGTCTCTCTCTCTTGACTGCAGAGTCTTGTCCCTGTGCCCAAAGTTGGAATCCACTTCCTTCCCTCCTTCCCTGTATTAGAGAAATAGTCCATCCCAGAGGGCACGCAAAAGCTCTACCCCGTTTAATTGTAACTTAATAGAAACCTTGAAGTACTTAAAAACCTGATGTTGTCCTAGTGTAACTAGATGTAATTGTTACAGGCAGAACTATCACAATTACATCTTGGGACAGATTAGTTAATCAGTTAATAGGCAGCCACTCTGAAGAATTCGGGGCAAATGCTGTGCAAAAAGAGTTTGTTCATACCACTGGTGGTTCTGCTGCTTCAGCGTAGGGGCAAGAAACTCTGCTAGGAAAGAAATGCAATACTCAAGTCTAAAGGCTACAAGGATGTGAATTTTTCTCAGGCTTTTCTGAGACTGAGCTGTAGTATGTCTGTAATCTTTAGCACGCTGAGGTGTTCCATTAAAAACACAAAACCTGTTAGTGATTTTCAAAGTAAGTAGTTTTTTCATCAGCAAGGATTTTGTCTTTTCCCAGTTGAGAAATACACTTTCCCTTGAGAATTCTTAGAAACAATCATGATGTAATACCTGCTGCATCCCCCAGGGTCAATTCTTGCTCTGTTCTGACATGCTTTAGGCTAAGCCACTGCAGTAAGCAAAGGAGGGAGAGCATTAAAAGGCCAAAAGGCATCAAGGTGCTTGTAGGCCCTAATTGAAAACCACTGAAAAGAACTCGGTAATGATATGGACTCACTGTAATACTGGCCTTTGCTAAGGTCTCACTTGAAGCCTGCACTTACAGAGAGAATTAAATGCTAGCGGGCAGCCCAGAATTATTTGTCTTCCGTAGAGGAAAAAACCTTCTGTGTAGTTGTAAATGGAGAAGTTGTGTGTCAGTTAAATTGTTTCATAAAATACAGTATTGGATTAACTAGCAGTGGAGTCCAAAACTTAGTAGTGATGTTCTGGATAGAACTAGAGTAGTTTTAAGCAAGAAATTATATTGTGTAATTGTAGCTTGACCCAGGGGATCTCTTTCAGTTCTGTTTCCTAAGTTTCTAATTCAGAATGATTAAAATGTGACCTTATCTCACACCTACCTTAATACCTAGCCTCCTTAAATTTATTTTACTGTAATTATGCTCCATCCAGTTTAATGCAAGTAAATGCAAACTCCATGATCTAGGAAAGGGAAATACAGACATACTAACAGAATGTGGAGAATTAGTGATCCTGCAGTGGATTTGTGTGACACAGAGAAGAGACACTGTGTGCAAACTCCTAGAGTAATGCTGTGGAGAGGAAAAAAGGCTGATTTGATTTTTAGACCTATAAACAAGTGAGTAAGAGTAATGGAGGGAGTATATTTTTGTGTACTGATTTGATGAGATCAGTGTAAGAACAAATCTGGGTATTTGTGTCCATATTTTTACAGAAGAATTCTCACGGGTGGGGAGAGAGCTACAAAAATTTTGTGCAATCTTAGGAAGAGATGTTACTCATCAGTCACTTTATCTTGTCATGGGGAATTTCTTCAGTTTGTGGGAGTCCCTTAGGAAAAGGAAATGTCAGGAAATTTAGCAAAAAGAGGCAAAAAAGAACAACTCATAATAAAGTAAAACGAAATTTGGGAACACGTTTTTTTAATAGTTATTAACTTTTCAAAATGCATTCTCCATCTCATTTTAGGCCTGGTTTAGGAAGGGGGTTTAGTCCAAATTTATGTTAATGATTTAAATACAGAGTAGCTAATTGAAACTACTGTAGTGGTTTAGTGGTTCTTCTAAGTCATCAAATGAATTTCATCACGCCTGGCATCGCTTGCTCCTCTGCATAGATGGAGAAGCCCAATGACCTGCCCAAGAACGCAACCAGTTATAGGCTCTTGATTCTGGCTATGAGACTATGTTAATGACAGTAATTCTTAGATCTGTTGTTGAGTTTGCTTATAATACTTATGAGGGGTATCAGAGGAATGGCCGCCCTTCCCTCCTGTCCCCCAGCTAACAAGCAGAGATGATTTAGACCTTAATCCTTGTTCACATATTGCTACAGTGGACTGAGGAAGAAGGCTTTTGTGCACATGCCAACACTGCCCAACCTTGACTTTCATAAAACTGGAGATGGGGTATGATATAATTTGCTTATTTATATATATTTCTGCAAATTAACATTTATTATGTTCCTTTTCTGTCTGAAGTTTTCAAAACAAAGTGAAGAGATGTGTAGTTTATAAGATTTTTTTTTTTCTTTATGATACTTATGTTCTGTATCATGGTTTGATGTTTTTCTGTAAAGCTCAGAACAAATTTCAGTGCTATTAAAAAAAACAAATTTAGGAGGTAAAGCAGGCTTTCACTGTGTTACCACGCACAGGCTATATCTTTTTAACTATTATTGTTTTGGTTTTACTGGATTTTTTTTTTTTTTTTTTAAAAAAGGTCAGTGCTAGGGAAGAAGAACCCCAGTGAAAGAAGCAGCTCCTGGGTAACAGGGGCTACTGAGTTGACAAGACATTGGATGCATGGACCGTCAGTTGTTCGTGGTCCAGATATTTGGATTCTCTCTGTGGTTTTCTTCCAGAAACGTCAGCTCCATATAATGCCTTTGGAAACAACCAGTAGATGAATGTTAAGACATTTAATTCTGAGTGATATTGATGTTGTGATCTCATTCTCCCAATTTGTGAAAAACTGTGAACATACTCAACTTTTTGTGTGTTTCTGATCATTTGCTCTCTCTTTTTGTTTGTATGCCTTGATGACCCTTAATGATTAAAGTAACCTTTCCTCCTTTGTTTGTTTGTTTTAGTTGGATGGGGCAGAGCCGTCTGGCCAGCTGCAAAGCGCTGATGAGGAAGTTGTCTCTGCGGCCTGCCGGCTTGTTTGTGAATGGGCCCAGAAAGTGCTGAGCCAGCCTTTTGATACAGTCCTGGAATTGGCTCGTTTCCTTGTAAAAAGTCACTATATTGGTACCAAGTCAATGGCAGCTTTAACAGTAATGGCAGGGGCACCAGCAGGTAATGAGATAACCTAATGCTGAATGGATGAAATAGGGGATCTTTTTTTGAAGAGTAGTAACATCTTGGTTTGAGGAAGCACTTCTCTTCAGGGTGAACTTTAAACACTGGCACTGTGCGTTGAGCATGCATTTATGTTATTTTAGTCCGCATTGCTGCAAATTACTTTTCCTGCTGGTAGGCTGGGTAAAGAGATCTGAAAAGAAGCAGTGGTTTCAGGTTTAGTTTGTGATTCTCCCATTCCTCCAATGAGGACCCTGGTCTTTTAAAGCACTTCAGGGCATGTGAGTAATTGTCCTGAATTTATGTACTTTGCTAGATCAGGAGTTCAGTGCCAGTACAGTGCTGGTTTGTAGACAAACTGCTGGTGTAGCTGTGTTTCTGTCTGGTAACTTGCCCTAATTTGGAAACAATTGTCTGTCTTAATTTTCTCTCAAGAGCAGATGTTCTTACAATCATTTCTGATGTCAGATGCAAATTTTCCTGAGATGTTTGATCAGTGTCAGGTAGTACAAGCACATCAGCTGCTGCTGTTGTTGATCACATTAGGAATAAGGGGTTGAGGGGCATCAAGAGGGACAGGAGAGCCTTCTCCAGTGCCAGTTGTGTGACTGAGATTCAAGTGCTCAATTGCAAATCTTCATTAAGGATTGAGGTAAAGAGAAGAGTTATTCTGTATTTTGCTTCATCAGATGAATTCCTGTTCTGCGCAGTTTGTGGGAAAGCTTATGTTCGATGTGGTTGGTTGTATATCTGCTTTTGTATTCTTTGTTACCCTCTTCATGCTCAAAATCAATCATTTAAAGAGTTTTTTTGTGGTGGTGGAGGAATTAAATTACAAAAATGAAGGATGAGGAGGGAAGTGCAGGTACACAACATGCCCCCCCAGACTTCCCTCTGGGAAGTTCTGCCCAGGCCTGTCAAGCAAAATGTGTTTGGATCAAGACAAATCTTGAGACAGGTGATTTCAATTGGAAACTGGTGGTCAGAGCTGTAGGTTGGGGTGATCGCCTTCTGGATCATGTTCTTTCTCCTTCCAGCTCTCTTTCCTTTATTGCAACTTGGAATTGACGGGTGGCAGTGGCAGGTTTTGTTGCCTGTATGCTCCTTTTTTACATGTTGTTGCTTGGCTTCATTGGTTCTGCTTGCTGTGCTGCTTGAAGGAACACTAGGTATAGGTACAGCTCTCCAACTGATGTAGATTCTCCCCCTTACTTCCTTCAAGGGAAGATGGTTTCCTTCAAGGAAAAGGGCTTGGGATAGTCATTTCAGGAGAGGTTCTTTCTAGAATGGCAAATAAAGTATTCCCATTCCCCTTCATCGCAAGGAACTACAGTCAGTGTCTCTGTGCGTTAACTGAGGAAAAAGCAAACTTCTACTCTCAAAGAAAAATCAGTTGAGTTTTTTTTCTCATAAATGTTACTTGCCTTCAATATTTAGCCCACATAGTAATTGCAATCTATTTGAGCATTTCACTGCTCTGTGAAGAAGGAATTGTGAAAGTGAAGATGATGTGGTGTTGAAGCTCTCATGATAGATGCAGACTGCTGCTGAGAGTGGCCTCCCAGACCACAGTTTCTAAGCGTGTACCAAATACTTGCCCTAAAATGGTGTTGATTCATTTATAAGTAAGAGTTATTTTAAAAACTGTGAAACCTGCAAAGTGTAAATGAAATAGAGCATTTTTAGAGGTGCAGTTCAACAGGGTTAGTTGGTCACTGAGAGAGCACGCTAATACTCTTGATTTTTAATAAACACAAGATCATAAATGTGATGTGATTTTTGTAAGGGAAATTGGTACCAGCTGCATCGATGAGACGAACTCCCTGTTTTTCTCCCTGGAAGCATCACTTGCTTGTGATCAGCAAAGGCATTGTCTCCAGAAAAAAATGTTCCTCTATTCTAATTTCAATCATTTTTTCACCTTTTCCTCCTTTTTGTTGGTTTTTTTTCCTTTTTTTCCCTGGACACTTCTCTTTTTGCCCTTCTTTCACCATTACCCCTGATAACACGCAGGTTGTGATCCGTGCGTTGTGTTTAATGCTTTGGCCATTAGATGATATAATCTGCTCAGGGATGCTCCTCTGTGACACAGACCCACAGCTTTCTGGAAAGATTTTTCATTTTTAAAGCTGCCTTAGACATTGATAACAAAACCAAACCACAGTAGATTATGAATTTTAAAGGTTGGTCTAAAACATATCCACTGCCCTCTACTGTCACTTAAGTGAAATGCATTGTTTTGTAGATTTTGCTGATGCCAAAGTTGCACTTTGGGATTACTAGAAACAAGATGCCAGTACATGCTATTTTAGCAGCTAATGCCCAACTTCTCTATCAGATAGAGGTTTTGCCACATGTGGAAATAAACTGAAACAGTGGGTAAATTTGAGCATGAAGTGGATGGGAGCACCTCATGGAGGAGGTGTTCCCAGGATGGTTGTGGAGATGCCTGACACATTCTGTGTGGTTAGATATAGAAGTGGCACAGCAGACAAGGATATGTGTGGTTATAATTCATTCTTTTTGTATTCAGGAATAAAAGGGATCCCCCAGCCCTCAGCTTTTATACCTACTGCTGAAAGTAATTCCTTTCAACCACAAGTGAAAACTCTGCCATCTCCTGTTGATGCCAAGCAGCAGCTGCAGCGTAAGATCCAGAAGAAGCAGCAAGAACAGAAACTGCAGTCTCCTTTGCCAGGAGAGTCTCCAGCCAAGAAAACAGAAGGCACCACAACCAACGGTGTGACCAGTATATCTAATGGGAGTCCTGCAATTCTGTCTCCTCCACCTATTGGCATTGTTGTGGCAGCTGTTCCCAGCCCAATACCGGTAATGTTCTCCAACAATTCTCTAGATAAACCACCTTATGAGAGGGTTGTAAATTGCCAGTAACTAAGCAGTGGCATCAGTGGGATAGAAAAACGGTTTCTGTTCAAAGGCTTGGGTCCCTTGATGCTTTTCTGTCCCAATGACTGTGTTGTACCCTGTGAGTTACGGGATCGATACAGAGGCAGCAGAATTCTGATCACATTCGTATTTGAAGTCATCAACAGTGGGATTTCAGCTAACAATAATTAAGGTTATATATGGGAATAATCACCCTTGAGATGAAGTTTAACCAGACAAGAGAGCTGACACCAGTTATGTGGGTCGCTGAGCCCCTAATATGGAATCTAAATTGCCTTTCATTGGCCTGGCACATTTAGTGGCAGCAACAATTTTATTTTTGCATGAATGTCTGTAGTATGGAACATCGTTGTCTTTCAACCATACAAAACTGGTGGGGGTGCGGGGTGGAAGGTTATTTGTTTTTAAGATGTTAGCTATGTTGTCGATTTCAATAGGTAAGCCAGTTTTTCTGCCTGATAGTGGGTTTGTATTTAACTTGCTTTTGAAACCTTAACAATGAGCAGTGTTTTGAACACATCCTCCCCTCTTTAACCTTTGTATGTCTGTCTTTTTGTTCTATGTGGTGAAGGATTGTATTAGAATGACCCTTTCATTAGCGGAAGAGCAGACTAGTGTGTAGACCAGTGCCTCATGCCTTAAAAATTGAGGCCATATATCTGTCTACCAATCCATAGACAGGCAAATAGAAATTGTCTTGTATATAGTTGAAGAGCTTGTTTTGTTTCAAAATGACATTTGCTGGCTTTGGTGTGTTGAGCTGTGTTGTCCTTCACCTTTGAAATGCTTGGGGATGAGGTGGTCTGTGGACATGGGGGACCTTCTTGCTTCATCGCCACACCTTTTCTTTTTCTCTCTCTACAGGTGTCAAGGACCAGGCAGTTGGTGACATCTCCAAGTCCTATGGGATCGTCTGATAGCAAGGTCCTGCCACTCAACGTTCAGGTGGTCACACAGCACATGCAATCAGTCAAGCAGTCACCAAAGACTCCCCAGAACGTTCCTGCCAGCCCAGTTGGTGACCGCTCTGCCCGGCATCGCTACCCACAGATCTTACCGAAGCCAGCAAATACCAGTGCTCTCACCATCCGCTCTCCCACGACGGTGCTCTTTACCAGTAGCCCCATCAAGACTGTTGTGCCAGCTCCACATGTCAATTCCTTAAATGTGGTAAAAATGACAGCAATATCTCTTGCCCCAAGCAGCAGTAGTGTGCCCGTCAAACAGACGCCTTCAGCTAGCAGTAGTGCAGGAGCAGTGGAAGAAGGGAGGACTGGTCCACAGATCAAAAATGGATCTGTTGTTTCACTTCAGTCTCCAGGATCCAAGCCTAGCACTGTTGTAGCTGCACCGACAGTCAAGATCAAAGTGGAACCAGAAGCATTGCTGGATGAGAACTCGGTACAGGGCCAAGAGAGCTCTGATGTGTCTAAATCCATAAAGGCAACGTCTGACCTGCCTCCTGCTCAACTAATTAATTTTGAGATTGCAACCTTGAAGGTTTCAGCTGATGATGTCGTGGAGGCAAAACCAGTTAAGGGCTCTGATCAGGGAGCTGAAGAAGCAGGGACCAAATACAAAACACAGTCTAATGAGATCACACCAGTTTCTTCAGCTGGCAATAATCAAAGCACTCTAAAGCTCTCAGTTGCCAGTCAAAACTTGTCCAGCACCAGCATTGGTTCACCTCCTACTGGTGAGTCTACGATTAAAGACAAAACGTGCACTAAGAGTCCAAGAAAGCGACAACCTTCTACACTTCAGGATTCCCAGGTACCACCTGTAAAGAAACCACTGGTGGAGCAGCTTTCAGCTGGTAATGCTGTGGAGGGTCAAAAAGCAAACAGTCTTAAGTCTCCAAAGGTTGGATCGTTAGCGAACAGTGACAATACAGCAACACTTGCTCAAGCTCCCAGCAAGGTACCTGTGAAGGTGCCTGTACCTTCTGCAGCTGCAGCAAACTTAGCAACAGACCTTTCTTTGAGCACCAATTTAAGTGCCAGTGATTCTACTTTAGGACAGCAGCTTGTGTCAGCATCATCTCCAGATATAAAAGTAAAATTGGAAGGAAACATGTTTATCATAGAAAATGATTCAAAACCTGATGGCAGCTTTAACCCGAATCCGTGGCACCATATCACCAAAACCTCCGACTTTGCATCTGTGAATTGCGAACAGCAGCAAGATATCAGTGTTATGACTATCGCAGGGCACTCTGGCGCTAGTGACTTACAGGAATCGGCATGGGAGCCAGTGCACTGCGAAGGTATGCAGCAGGATGCGTACAGCCAGCAGTTACAGAGCCAGATCCAGGACTCCTCCTTGGGTCAAATACAAGCACAGTCTTCAAATCAGTTACCTCTGCAGTCTGAGCTGAAAGAGTTTGAACACACAGTCCCTCAGTCAAACGAAAACTTCTTTTCATTTGATGATGACCTTACCCAAGACAGCATTGTGGAGGAGCTGGTGCTCATGGAGGAGCAAATGTCCATGAATAATTCTCATCCTTATGGTGGTTGTCTAGGAATGGCACTTCCGAGTCAGACCGCAGCTCAAGGAGCTCCTGTGTCATCTCATCCAAGCAGCGCGCACTTTTACCATTCGATCCATAACA